AGCCAAAGCCTCTGCACGCACCTTGTCTGCTAGCTTGTATACAGTGAACCGACGCTTGGCATTCCACATTTATTCCAAGATAGCTAGGGATACAACATCAATACTAATTATGATAAACCAAGAAACAAAATTAAGTCTCCTTCCCCTGGGCTACTTCCACCTTCGCATATTGCCACCTCCAACACTTCGTCATTGTATTTTTTCTCTCTAGAAGTTCCATTGCTAATAAAAACCCAAAGTGACAGTAATTTTTACTTTCATAATTATTTGTTGTAACAAAGATTGTAGTGGTTGTTCCCGCGTCTCATCGTTAATGAACATATTTATCTTGATGTCTTTAAAACATCTTGATTCATTGTTCACTCCCGTACTAGTGTTACGATATTGGAAAATTAATGATGCTCCCTACCTGCAAGTAGCGAGTTCCATATTCTCCATTAATTGTATTCTTTTTCTTTTGCTTTTTTTTATTGTGGTGAATGTACATTAAGAAAACATTCACCCAAACTAGTGGCGGATTGGAAAATTTAATTTGCCGTAACAATCTTACGACAAATTAAGTGTTTTCATAGTTTTCTCGTAAGAGTGGCCTAATTAGTGGAGTAAGAGAGCGTAATCAAATAATACGAGCTGGAATTCTATTATGCAAAGTGTTGCTTTACATATCTCGTGTGATTTGCAATCTAAGGTCTATCAAGAACGCCTATATATGATTGATAGATGACTCTTTAGTGGCAAGTGTTATAAAAGGTTCACAAAAAACAATAGAAATGTGTGTAAATTGTCTAGGATTTATACACGTGAAGTTCACAGGATATAGCATAAAACAAAACCGTTCAAGTACTACTAGGCTATTGTAATAATTTAATTTTAATATAGCGGCAAAGAATGTTCGCTACTTACCTTTATCGTAGTTAATTCAACGGATGAGTAATAATCAGAACTGCAGACGAAGACATTCCGACTCGGGATGATTGAGCTTCAAGTTAATCTGGAAAATCATATACGAGAGAGAATATGCAATTTTAGAGGTACTTCAAATAATAGCTTGTGTCCTTTCTATCTCAAATGGAGTTACTTAACACGATCAATTGAAGAAAAAAAATAAATGAACAAACCACCTAGAAAAAGTCACATCTATTTTTTTAAGTTTAGAGAAAAGGATTGTCTCGGTCATTTGAATTATATACTAATTGAATTTGCAGTTTTACAAGATAAAATAAAACCATTAAGGGCTGGTTTACTTTATAAATAAATGGTATGACTCAGTTATTGTGGAATTTCATGACTGAGTTAAACATTTATATACTGATATGTATACATTGGTAGGACTAAATAATAAATTACTTTGATAAATGATATCACTGAGTTATCTATGGAATTTACGATTGCGTGAAAGTTATTAATATATATGTCATATGTGTACGTTGGTGGACTTAAATAAATAAACTCATTCATTTCAACAATTATGGGGCCAATATAAGAAAATTACATTATTCAAATACAGTAGTTTTTCAGTTATCAAACAAGCTTAAACATCAACATGTAGCATCTTAACCATTCAGTTATGTATTTAACATTCAGCGTCTAGGGCTTAATTTTGTCAAACGTAGCCTAAGTCAGTATTCAAAATGAGGGCCTAAAAGATAAAGAGCATCCTGAAGATATTAACTTAAAATAACATAACACAAGTAAATGACTTATTTGCATTAACAAAAATTCTCTGATTTAAATGGGTATTGACGCAAGATATTAGTTTTTTTCTATAAGTATGAATGCAAAACTCTAATTCCAAATAATTAGTCGTCAACAAGCTAATGGAACCACTAATAACTTGCTAATAAAGCAGTATATTATCATTTTATGAGAATATGTATTTTGGCATTTGATGCATTTATTTGATTAATTGCATGAATCTTATATTTTAATAATATTCGAGATGAAGTTGAGTAGGATATAGATAACGAAAGTTTGTTTATAATATAAAGTTTATAGTTCACAATTTAGATGAAATTTGAATAATTATTGGAATAAAGATTGTAAGACAATATTTAAGTGATCTATATTGATAAAACAAAGAATTTCTTGAGAGTTATTGTTTTGATTTGTCGGGCTAGCACATTCGGCATGTTTTGAACAGGACAAAATAAAATAATCGTTTCATTGTTGCTCATAATAAAACTACATTATTTAGCATTATTAGTAAATTAATTACTCCCTCAATCTTTATATATTTAAAGTACACATTTAACTAGTGTACTCTACTTTGATATTGCAATGCGAGCGATTCTTATATCGCGAGTCAAAGTAAGAGCCCGTTTGGCTAAGCTTATTTAAAACATCTTATAAGCTCATACATCTGATAAGATGTTTTAGGAGCTGATAAGCTGTTAAATCTTATCTTAAAAAATTATTTTTTAAGGTGTTTGGATATGTAGCTTATAAGTTACTTTTTGTTTTTATAAGTTGTTCAGGTGTTTGGAAATAAAAGGTCGGTTTATTGCTATAATGACAAAAAAGTACATGACGCCAGTATAATTATTAAACCTCAAATACTTTTGTTCCTAAAATATTATTATAATATTTACAAATTATTTTTTCAAATAATAATAATAATATAAAATTATATAATAATATAAAATAAAAGTTGTAAAAGAAATATAATTTTTTTTATAGATGAAAGAAATATAATTTAATATGGAGATAATAAGAATATTCGTGTATTTTTATATACATATAAAATATAAATGGAGAATAATTTCTTTTACAATTATTATGATAATTACGATAGTTATATTTAACTAATTATTAATCTTGATTACAAGAATACGTTGTTGTGTTAAAATATAAATATTATTAATATTCATGTAACATAATAAAGTATTTGAGGGTAATTTTGTATTTTAAGTGTTTTAGTAAAGAAGCAAATAAGATCTTAAAGAAAAAAGGTGGGGTATAGGTACTTTTTTAAAAACATTTTATAAGCTCCCTAACAGCTTATTTTTAGAAAAAATAAGATCTTTTGCAATTTTTTTACCAAACACCTTTTAACAACTTATAAGCTCCTAAACATCTTATAAGATGTTTTTAGGAGCTTGTAAGCTTAGCCAAAGAGGCTCTAAATCTCACTATGTTGGGTGATGACATCAATAAGAATATATTAGATACCAAAAATATTTATCCAAACAATCCAATTTTACCCCTATAGTTATCATGGAAGACTGTTTATTTATTAGTGGTTAGTTGCACCTTAGATAGTATAAAATTTAGTGGATTACAAATACTTCACGCCTAGTGTTTTTTTCCCCACTTCATTGCTTTCTTTTTTTCTTCATTATCTAATTATATATTTCAAA